AAAAAGTTTTGAAAGAATTGTTATCAAACATGGACTTAATTTTCTTGAGTTTTTCTTCAATTAGAGCATACTACAATAGAAAAAGTAATCCGTACTTGGAAATATACAAGGAAAAACATTAAAACGATCTCTTTAACATGAAAAATAGACTCATTTACCTATTATGGAGTTTTAAAGACGCAGAACTACACATTCCTATAATATCAAAGTAAACAAATAAATTCAAGAGATTCGTGATATCTGAACCATATTTTTCTCACATGATTACTCTTCTTGAATTTTTTGTTACGTATCCATTGCAATTGACACGTAATAATCGACAAGATTTTGACTCTAATTTAATCAATAAGCTACTAGTATATGCACGAAAAGAAAGAATTGATGCTAATTTAAATGTAAAATACAGAGAACAATAGTTGAAATATTAAGTACTACCAAAACTGCGTTGCTTGTTTCACCATTATGGAATTTATAGAGACCTCATTTGACATGTCATTGATCTGATCTACATTGTACTTATTTGTTATAATTAATTCTGTTTAAACGACAGAAATATCTATCTAGCCATTGTCAATTCACAGGTTTATTCATTAAATTCATATCAAATGTATCTATATAGAGTCTCTGCTGGTTGAAGTCGATTCTTTCAAATAGACTTTTTATATATATGAACAACAAAGTGGAATGCCTTTATATAATGGAACGGTTGAGGGACTGCTGCAGATCAAGTTGTAGAGAGTATTGCGAGACAGTTCGAGGCACAGGGAAAAATACAAGGTACTCTATCGCCATAGTCTAGCTTTCCAAAACTTGTCCAATTAATTGTTAAGGCCATGGTAATTGGTACAAGAAAAAGGCTTTCCATCCCTTCTTCAATGATAGAGAATCATTGACAAGGATAATGTCACAATCCACTTTTTCCACATATTTTTCACAGTATCAAATGTTTAATCATGTGGTTCACAGTAAACAGCTAAAGCAATATGGAATGAAATAATTTCAAGCAACATTCAATGATGAACCACATTTCAAGTGATGTTGATGTCATCTAGCCACCTCCACTTTGATGAACCATAATGTCAATGATATCTTCATCTTCCAAGTCAAGCTTATCACGAGTTTTTCAACCACTATTTGGCCACATGCGATCACATCCTGATTGTGAATGGAAAGGAGCGTTTCACCTCCATCATTCAGGGCTGAGGGAGAGTTTGGCGACGTCCCAAAGGTCCTGCCGCCGCCACTGCTGGTGGTGTTCAACCCAATGGTGCAAGAGGAGGTCGATGCTAGTGATGGGTGTTCAACCAATGGAGGATGTGCCTGAGGCTGATAACCTGTTGCTGCAAGATGAGGCTTTGACTGCGACTGGATAAGTCATGGAAGATGAAGGAAATGTTCCTGCACAGGCCGGACAAGAGGGTGGCAATGGTGTAGGCGTGCAGCCGACCTGAAAAATTACTGAAATTCCTAATTTGAATAACTCACCTCTCCAAGACAACGATGATGAGGCTAAATTAATTTCTCTTTAGCACTTGACATTATTCCGTGTTCTGTTTTTACTTCTATTACTATCCTTCTATATAGGCAATATATAATAGATAATGGTGAAGAATTTTGTTTCTGATCTTGATCAAAATTTTGCTATGAGGCAGTATAAGAAGGAATTCTTTTTATCTGCAAAACTTTGAATGCTATAAATAAAAAAATCAAATATTTTGCTTCTTCAAAAAATGTTTCTTCGTCCTGTCTTTCACAGTATGCCATCAGTAG